TTTTTTTTTGTTCTTTTTTTTTTTCTTCGTCTGCGCAAATTCTCTGGGGTCATTTTGAAACAATGTGTTACCCAAAGACTCTTAACTGTCAACACCCGCCTACCAGTTGAACTAAATGATGATTACGACCGTCAGCGCTGCCTTGGGAAAATGTCGATGTGTTGACATAAATTATCAACTAAGTTCTGTGGAAAAAAATCCATCGCCTTGTTACCGTTCTGATGTTTCCCATGCGGTTTGCCGCACCTCAGCCAAACTGAATCAGCAAAAAAGTGCAAAGCGGGATGGAGAGTTAGGCTACTATGAAAAATGAACTGTTTCCTCGAAAATTATAAGCAGCAGAACTTTCGTATGAAGGATGCAAGTGCTGCAAAGACCTGCTCTTTCGCGGTTATTCTTCAGAAAAAATGTAAACAAAGTTTAGATTTCTATGACGGCGGGGATTAGGTTAGAAATCTAAATAGGAGATTTTTTTGTAGCAAAGTTTGACACCCCCTTCTGAAAGCATCAGTAAACTAGTAGTTCAATGAAACACACCTCAATTACTGATTCTTTGGAATATCGATTGAGGTTGGCAATGGTTGCGGTGTTCAGCATCAGCAGAAGTGAAAATGGCAGAAATACGTTCAGGAAATTGCGGCACCAAAACATCCATATCGTTTTGTAGCTTTCGCTGAACGGCATAACTTTAATTGAGCTCACTAGCTGTCGAATGTCCTGTCTTACCTACGCGTTAACTCCGATAGGTCTAGTCGCAAGCTGGTAAATATCGGACAGTGGGGAAGAAACTGCATTTCCAATTCGAAATAAACTGAGCCCTGAAATGAACAAATGGTAAGCTGTGCTCATATTGTAGAAATTTTCCACAGATTTTCTTTTATAAAATTTGAAAAAAAAGCATATTCAACACAGAATGTAGAAATTCTAGGTTCTGAGATGGTTCATGAATGGAAGCTGAGTAGCGACCATTCTTCAGGTAAAATCCGCCCACAATTTTTGGGGTGATAGAAAAGATCAATCATATGAAGAGTGCGAAGGCCCTAGCCCCTAGAACCAACTACCGGGTGACTCGGAATGATTTTCTCAACAGCGTTAAAAGTTTTGTTTTTCTGGTTAAATAGTGCTAATTAGGAGGCGCAGTTCACGGTAAGAATGGTTTCTAAGATTTCCCTATGGTATACATAAATTCGAGGCTCCCCCTTGCACCACACCTGGCATTATAAAGTCTAAGAACGTCATGAATAGGGCACAATAAGGGGCCAGAGATTGTATCATGTGAATGCCTCGCCCATCGTGAACGAGTTTCAGCGGCTTTGTAGAAGCTTCACAAAAGAATCCAATGTAGGAAGTTCAGACAATTCGTCATCATCCTTGGCGACAGTCGAAGAGCGTTTAAGACAATTCTGACTTGATGTAGCCAGCTCTTTGCACAATAGCAACAATCAAAATCTCGTCCGAATACCCGATCCATCCCATTTCGTCTTGGCCTAAAATCTCGTACAACTTCTAGTGCCACTACTTTTGGACAGCCTTCAAGTAGGGTAATTTTCTCGCTTTCTTTGCCATCGATGTACTCCTCTACATCAATACTTCCGCTTTTCAACCTAAAATAGGTGCCTCAGAGTTATCGTGAACTGTGCCTTTAGGCACTCTACTTATATTGCTTATAATTACCCCTTACAAGAGCAACCCGGTTTAATCCTTCAAGCGTGCCAGCTACATGAGAAATGGAGCCAGCGCAAGAACTGTGTGATGACTGATTAGTCAGAGAAATTGTAGATGCTTCGACACTTTGTACGAACGCTGAGAGTTGACGCCCTCACATCTTCCCAGATTGTAAAACACAGTTGAGGAAGAGTTTTTGAAAAGGTTGAGGAATTTTGTCTACTCTAAGTAGCTCGGTTATCAAATGATAATTCACCGTTTCTGCACCTATAAATTATTGCCAGATCTGCTACGAGGCCCAAAAAATTATTAATGAATCTTAATAATAAAGGCTATAACGATGCAGAGTGCAGAGCAGGTTGGTGTTGGAGCTCGCTTTAAAAGACCTCTTGCATTTTCAACGATTGGGGAAAACGTAGAGCTCGCCCTGCTCCCAGACCCACAAATAAGAAATTGGTTGCTTCGGTTCATCATCAATTTGCACTGCGCTCTGTTTAGTCGGTACCTTCATTACGAGAGCTAACAATAGCACCAATGTGATGACCGCCACTCGTTTTCTTGGTTCAAAACCGGAAGTAGACTGAAGTGAGCAAATATATCGTTCAAAGGATGCCGACACTATCAGCAGGGTAGATGCCGCAATCAACACCTGGAATTGGGCAACATTAGAGCCTGAAATGAAGTTTATGATTACTTTTCTCATCGCCTATAGGCTTGTGCACGGGTACTTTTTGCGTCACTACAGAGCGAAAGTATAAAAGTGACCGCAAGACAAACAAAACAGAGTCTCCAAACCCTTTCCTCCCAAAGAATTTTCGAACGAGTCTCAAACCCATGTGATGGCCGTAAAATACAGATACGGCTTCAAGTCCCTTCTGAGGCCATAGTTTGCCCGCAATCGCCACCGTTGTGTATCTTTCGCATCGCGTGCTATCGCGTACTGCAGCGAAATAATAGCATTCGGGAAGATGAGCGGAAAACTAAAAAAGATCGAAGCTATCTCGATAATGAGGGTCGAATTGACTCAAATCGCCCAAACCTACTGGTGTAACCTTATAAAGGGGTACATTTGGGAGAGATCCGCCCCAGGCAGCTTCTCTACATACTCGGCGTAGTAGCATACGTTTAGCACGAAATAAATTAGTCGGCAAAAATGATATTCAGAAATTCCTTGCCTGTCCGGATGTGGAAACATATCGAATGTAATGATGCCATGCCACATAGAGCGCTTCTACACGAAAATATTCCCAAATCAATGCCGATGGAAAAATGAACTGAAATCAAAAAATTATACGGGGATTTGAAGGAACGTGTTCGGGGACTCGTAAATGTACACTCTCCCACTTAATCACTTCCTCTTTTCTTTTTTATCGGCCTTTCTTCCACTCATTTCCTAATTGTCCTAGTAACAGCTCAACCTAAGGAAGGATGAAGCGATGCGACCTCATTCATTAGGAAGTTGCACTTCAAACAAGTTTTTTGAGTTCTTCAGTGATTTCATTCAAGCAAGTTGATCCAAATCGCGTCAGTAAAGATTTTTCCGCTTGGAAGCCGATTCTTTTTATAATCTTCCTGGCGGAAACTGAGTTTGGCCGCAAAAAAGTTGCTTGCCCTTTAAGTCAATCCACCGAGCAAAGCAATTTAAGAAATTTATGACACGTGTATCCTCTGGCCTATACAGTAGTTAGCGGAAGTTTAGATGGTAGCAACTTGGCACAAAGACGACGGAATAGGTTGGGTGAAGCTTTCCGTCGCAACTCACTAGCGCTGGCTCTACTGACGAAGCATTATGAAGCCTACGATAGTCATGAACGTAAAACACCCTTTTCTTTTGAGGTGGTTCCGATTCCTTCTCGAATTCAGTTAAAAATTCAAGGTTTTTCCGAAATTTCTAGCAAAACTTCTGTAGAATAGCCTCCAGCTCATCGCCTTTCACTTCTTATGGCCTTATGACGTCTGTGCCTTGGGAGACGTAGCTACCTGAACTTTTAGGTCTTCAGTCTTTTTACCGATAAAGCAGATTTCCCACAACATAACTCTCAAAGTGTCAAAGTGTTTCATCTGCTTCGTCTTCGAATCGAGAAAGTGCACACGATCTCATCAGACGAGCATACTTCCACGTTTTATTATCATTCAGTGGAAAAAGCATGGTTACATTGAAAGAAACCCTCGAATAATAGTTATATAGGACCGAAATGGAGTCGTTCAATTTCCGCTTTATGCGTAGTTGAAAATAATTAAATTCCGCAGACATTTTCAATGAAACGCCGTAATAACTTGAAATGAAGTGCTCTCTTACAGAAGAATTTCAGTGCTGGGACTGGAACACCTGGTATTGGTTGCACTCAATTAATGGTAGTTTTCTACTGACGTTGTACATAGTACTGAGAAGCAGGATACCTTTTAAGCCTATCCGAACTGAAATGGTTTCTAGTTATAACTTCCATGAATACCTTGTACCTTAGACCTTTTGCCGCGTGCTTCCACATTTGCGTAATTTCTCATAGCTTCAGAATTTATTACAGCGAATTCTCGAAGAGATCTTTACAAGTGCGATTCTCACATTTGAAACTGGAGTATAAGGAATATGTCGTGTAAGGTGCCATTTCGGCTGCAAAAAGTGTAGTTCTGCCCTATGAAGCTTTGGAACCAGCGACTTGCTAAAGCATGTGCTACAGCACAGGTCTAGCACCCCTCTATCACAGGTAATCCACATTGCAAAAATTGCTCCATCAAGTTTGAAACTCCCCTTCTTACTGTATCCAGCTTCCCAGTCTGAGAAACAAGCAAGCCACCTTTCTTTGAATTTGATATCCCCACGTTTGACCATGCTTGGATTTCATTTGCCAAGCCTTGGTCGTATTGGTTTGAAGTGTGCGTAGTATGAACTTCATTCCAAGCCTTGTGGACCCTTCGGTTTTCAATCAACCCTCGGACATATTGGTTTGTATAAATTCATTCCGTAGTCAACGGGATAAGTCCCATTCACGAATTATGTGCTTTCTCTGAAGGGTCCCGAAAGCTTGGCGTACAATGCCGTTAAAGATGACGAGGAAAAGATATTTGATGAAGCAAAAGCTTCGCATTCGCTCGAGACCAAGCAGGATTTAGTGGATGAAGAATTTCATTGTTATTGCTGCTTATGGTTTGATGCGATATTTCGGACACTGCTTAGTGCATTGATGTAAGTGTGCGTGTTGCATTCGCCCTTAACGCACAGTTCACGATAATTTTGAGGCACTCGTTTTTATTCGAAAAGCGGGAGTATTGATTGGGAATAGTCCATCGGTAGTGAAGAAAGCGAGAGAATTTGCCGGTTTCGAGAAAAATATAGCTCCTCAAAAGTAGGGAAATTAGAGGCTGGACGGGATTGTCACGACGGAAATAAATAACATGGAGGGGCATTTGGACGAGATTTCAGTTATTTTTTTNTTTTTTTGTAGTTGCGCAAAGATCTGGCTACATCAAGCCAGAACTGTACAGAACTGTCTTTCACTGTCGCTGTGGGTGATGACAAGTTGTTTGAACTTTCTACATGGGTTCCCTTGTAAATGGTGCAGCCTCTACATAGCCGATGAAACTCGCCCGTGGATACACGTGGGCCAATTGCGAGTCTTTACAACTCCTTAACTAGGCCTTCTTCCGATCTAATAGTGCCCGATATGGTATACAAGGGGGCCTCAAATTCATCCTGTGTGGGAATCTCAGAAACCATTTTTATCGTGAACTGTGTCTTTAAGCTTCTAACTTATACGCGAAGCACAATCCCTCAGGTCCAGGCTAGCTGATCCTGCGTATCCTTATGCCGGGAGCAATAATTAAAATGAGCTTTCTTCGCTTCAATCCCAAGTAATTTTCTAGTGTGGCAACGATCTTATTGCAACCCTGTTACTGAAGGCTGGGGACCATAACAGGCTGCTCAAATCAAAAAAGCGTAAGATGTCAGACGATTTCATTGAAAGATAGAGATGGGTTCGTTCTCAGTCTGTTCTAACCTGCATCTCTACTTTCATAGGAGACTTAATAAGGATTGACTATCACCTCCACTCTGCGAGAATCCGCTTTTGATTCATTGAGAGGAGAGAAGAATCATCAATTTCAAGAATCCAAATCCGCCATCAATTCAGACTGCTTTATTTCTCGCACCATTTTATTGGCAGTTAATGGCTCAGCTAGCGAATCTATTGAAAAAGAGGGTATAAAGAAAGATCTTTTGGAGAGATGTGCTACGGTGTTTACTCAAGCTGCAGAGGGCTGCATTCGCAATGCAAGCAACTTCATTCCAAACATGGAAAAAATAGAGGAAAGACGAGTAAAGGTAAACTTGAACAGGAAATAAAATGAAGTCTTCCGCGTCAATCAATTCTGCTTTCGTGATGCACCTCACATTCCACTTCCAATCAAAATTACAGTGTTGTTTTGGATGCCTACTCGGCATATACAATGGCTTGCGTTGGCTAGTCGGTGTAGAAGCCCATTCTTTCATCCTCCTAGATTTGTTTGAGATACCTATTACTATAGCAGATTTCAATAACCCTTTGCACATTGTATATCGCGTAAAAAATTTTTTTCTGCAATTACTCTTAAGTGAACTAGTCGAGTGATCAGAAGCCTGATTTATCAATAGACATTCACCTATATGCATCTCATCTTCCAAAATGGGGCCCGCCAAATTCCACTGTAGGGATTCTGCTGTTCGCTTTTATCCTTTTGTATTACTCATTTTCAACCGCTACATCAATTCTGTTGTTCTTAAAAATGTAAAACATTGTTACTGATCCTAATAAATTTTGGACTCCCTCTTTTGAGCTGACAATCTGCAATGTCCAACGACAGGCCCACTGGTTGAATCCCAATCACACTAAAGTTCCTCATGACAACGGAAGAGACGCCCTCAGAAAAAAGGTTATTGCAGAGACATATTTATAGTTTTCATTTTAGAAACCGTGTAATAGAAGAACTGGAAAGCGGTAATTTGAAGGGCGGGCCATACGATTTTCATCGCGGAGGATTCCTTTCGTATTCATTTTTCTCATAACGACCTTCCCCAAGACGGTACATATATCAAAGGACTCACGTACTCCTTTGTACGCACGAAAGAGTTATTCACCATTATGCTTCTGTTTTGAGACACTCGTATTTCTATTCACCCAACTGGAAATAGTAAAAAGAATCCCAACACTTTTATGGGAAATGAGAGCACGACCATGCTCGACATCATCCTACAGGGCTGCGGCATCTTGCAGTTAGATGAGTACATCTATATGTGTTAAAAGGATGTCTTTAATCATAACAGACATGCATAAATCAGAGTATCGAAGGCCACTAACAGAACATTTTGTAACAATGAATCCACTCTTGTGCGTTCGGTCAGCTTACGTAGAGCCAGGCTGCGATTAGCTACTTTCCCGGGAAAGTACAGTGAGAACCTGGACTTAAACTGCTTAAGACACTCAATTAGTTGGACCAACTCGCTAGCAATAAACTGATTCACTGACAAAGTACAACACCATTCCACAGCTGTCCGCCCACTTACTGAAATTGTGCAAGTTGCTACCCGTATGTTGCCAACTGGATATAGTGGCTGTAACAGCATGCAAAGAGGACAACATCAGTTGAAGCGTTCCGAATACTACGCGTTCAATTTTGGTTCCTAAGATGGTTCGATTTCTTCGAAATCATCTGGATATTCGCACCGAAGCAACACATCAACCATTTAAAAGGAAGTCTCTTGATCAAATTTGACTTTTCATCTTCCATGGCAATTCGTGCAAAACGAGAGTAAACTTTGTGACGATAGCTTTCACGCACTGAGGTGGCACAATGAGACCCTATTAACATTGATGCCCTCCATACATAAATAGGCAACAAAAAGTGTAATATAGTGCTGTGCATCATGAGTGGATCCCGAGCTCTAGAAAGGAGAGACTCTGTGCCGCGTACATAGGGTCAGAGCACGACTATGAAGCCATCTTCGAAGATAAGGTAAAAGGTATGTCATGATCTTTTTCGAAAACAGCACTGACGAACTGAAAGGATGCACTTTTAAATACCGATTCGGGGCGTTTTTGTAAATAACATAACGTACTTTTCACGCATGCTGCTTCAGCGGTTTAAGAATCGCTTCAGAGGTCTGCTCCTAAGTGTTTGTGTCTCCTACTTAATTTTTTGCATGCTAATCAGCTTCAAAAATTGTATTTTGCTCTCAATAGTCTACTTTTTGTATACTGATGTTCGGCGGCCTTGAACTAGTGGGATTGAGACGTTCATTCCCTTCAGTTTTCTCCAAATTTTGTTGAACTCTGAAGTGACCGCTCCCTTCCATGCTTTCTTGGGATATTTTGAAGGAAGTAGTGCTGTGTATTTTGCTTCATTCCACTCCATGTACATCTCTACGTGGAGAAGAGAGGCACTTGAAGCTAAGCCTCAAGCATAGAAAGAATCGAAGAGGTGTCCCCATTTCTCAGGATGCTCCCATTAAGATGAAACCCAATGAAGCATAGCTCTATACGTGAGCTTACGAGCGTGCTTTCCCATGAAGTTGCGTTGTTACGCTCTTCTCTCAGGGATTCTTGGCGCTTCTAAAAAGGCGAGGAAGAGACGAAAAGCGATGTTCCGACTCGCCTATTAATCTCTCACGCATAAAAGAGTAATGAAATATTCTGCTCTTCGATGCCGCTTGACGCTGCTTTCTTACTGACAACTCATAACTCTTTATTCCAGCTGTGTTAAGGGGCACTTCAGGAAGACAGCAAAAAGTCTATAGCTCAATCAACTCCTTTCCAAGTGCCGCGGATGTCCGATTGCTGCTTTTTTAAGTGTGCGATATTGACGTTGACCACTGCCAATTTTCCCAAAGAATTCTGGAGAAAACCAATTGAATCCGAGAGACTTCTTAGCCTTTTTCCTCCACATATTTCTGATGAGATCAAAAATGGTTTCTGAAATTTGCCGTAGGACGAACGCGTGGCCCCCGAGTACAAGACATGGGAAATGGGAAGTTGCCAGGTTAATGAATGTCCTCGACAGAGCATTATAAGGGTTCCAAAACCGACTTGAAGACACACCCAAAAGTGGCCGTGTCATGAAGTTGAGGCTGTGGCATTCACAGTGAAACGCTGGATGTTCACAATGAAGCGCTGGACGAAGATTAGTACGCTTTCGTGGGAGATACCCAAATGATCACCCACGCACAATCTCCAGCATCCTCTTTCATAGTACTTTCTTGAAGCATCATATTTCTCTAAACCTGTCAATTTTCGCGCATTCCTCGCCACTTATGGGCTATTCTGCACCGTAACTTCCATACTTCACTAAAGCCCGATACCTCAGAATCTTCTTCGACTGTACCTTCAACCAAGTGGGAAGAAAAGAGGAAAGAGGGGTATCACTGGCTTCATTCTGAGGTTTCTGGTTCATCAGAGCAGCGAAACCTATTATCTAACAATTAACAAACTAGAATTTATAATAAAATGGGAAAAGTTTTACGGGCTGGAGTTCAGACGCACACCTCAGGCGCTGTGCCACTGCCGAAATGAATTCTGACGAAAAAAATGCGGTTCAAAAAATGTGTACCGAGGTTTTTAGCGAGCATTCTATGACGTGTTGAACACAACAATTCACTGATGGCTCCAAAACGTCACGCAACTTTTCTGCTGTTACAATCACAATAAAAACAACTCATTTGAAGACGAATTGGTCTTGTTTGATGAGTTTTCGTCTTTGGTTTCGTACGCTCTCCCCTTAACGATGTGATTGGGTAGAGTGCTGGGAAAAGAGTTGGAGCAGGACGAAGTCTTGAGCCTCCGACGTCATTCTAGTCTGAAGTCCACTCGACTGCACTTCGATTGAATACCATCACAAGAAGTAGTTTCGAATCCGTTCCTCTGTTACCCTTCGAGCTTATTGCTTTCAAACCGGAAATAACTAACTCGATAGCAAGATACCTTAATCCTACACACCTCAGAGATAGGGTTCGTTGTCGATTTAGCCACGTTCTTAATTTCTGGCTACCCACCTAATCTTGAATAGAAGGTAAGACAGCGCACACGTAGCAAAAATTTTGCTTTCATTTTAAGGAGAAGAGTCTTGTGTTTATGCTTGTTTATGCCGTTTATACCATTCCTCTTATTAGGTTCAGCTCTTTATTAAAAATATTTAATTACATCTTTATAGAAAATCTATCACTGATCCCCTTTACCGCCAGCAGCTTACCTGCAGCATACTTGAGCAAGGCATCAAATAAACCTGTACCCCGAACTCCTGAACTCGCTCAATATCCGTCACTGGGCAAGTGGCAAAGATTAGATTGAACTTTTGTTAGACTGACATNCTCTTTATTAAAAATATTTAATTACATCTTTATAGAAAATCTATCACTGATCCCCTTTACCGCCAGCAGCTTACCTGCAGCATACTAGAGCAAGGCAGGAAATAAACCTGTACCCCGAACTCATGAACTCGCTCAATATCCGTCACTGGGCAAGTGGCAAAGATTAGATTGAACTTTTGTTAGACTGACATATATTTATGTATCTGTTCCATGTAACTAGCGATAACTTGGGCAAAAAAGTAGTGGCCTTCTAAATTGTCGATAGACGATAAGTCCCTAAGGGACGAGCACCCTGCGACGGAGTGCTTTTCGCCTAGCATCTACCTTATACCACTGAAGCCCCTGATACTTCCATTCTTATGATCGGCTGACAACCATTATGCGTGTATGGAAAATAAAAGGAGCTGACTAGAACTCTCATCAGCAAAGTATGTATATCCACTAAGGGAGTTTGACCACTCCCCTCCACAAAGCAGAAAGTAGAAGAAAAAGTGGCTAAAAAGGCTAAGCCTATTTTCCTCGCCCCAAAATTTCCATGCAACCTTGTTGCTTAGGCATTGAACAGCTCAACATAGATTCGTGGTCGAGCAATTCACTGAAAAAGACTCGGATGGAGTTTGAAAGCTCAGCCATCCCCATGAATTCATTGTTTATTTGAAGAGTGATGGTTTCCTTCAGCTCAAATGAATGACTTCCTCCAGATATCTGTGAAATGCATTCGTTTTTTCAGAGATCGGGAAAGATCGGGAGGCGCCTTCACACGTGAAATTGTTAAAAAGGAAGGGGCTATGAACTCGCATGCCGGATGTTTTCAGAACATAATGTACATATAGTGAAGATTTGTGAAGAGTCGAGTGCATCCTAAGCAGCCCTTGAGTGTCTTTCGCCATTCCTAATCAAGGAGTTGCTACAAAATGTACTCTGACATTCTGGGCTACCCTCGACTTTCATTTTTCCCGCCGCACTCGAGATGAAGTTAATTCTTGACGATTGAGCTACAAACTTACTTACTGTTGCAATCGCATAAACAGCTAAATTAAGACCTGCATTTTGGAATTTCTCCTAATTGTTGTTAGGCATGACTTCTCTACGGAAACCCACTATCTTGGGCTGGTTAGATGAGAGCATGTGAGCTATTTCCTGCAGATCAAGCCGTTATACCAAAGCATTTCTCTGGTAAACCAAGATGATTATCAAATTAGGTTTTTGGATTCAGGAAGTAGATCTTCCTCGTTACCCGGCATCGAAGACATACCCTCCGGGCATTCCCCAAACATTAAAGCCTCCTGATGAGGTTCTATTGAAGACGTTGCGATTCCGTTTTACCCTAGACGAAAACACTCGAAACACATGCAAATAACATCTCGAAAGTAGTAAACTGGTAGCTCCTCGAACTAAAAGGTTTCGTCAATTGTGGGAAAAGTCTGGCACTCACCATGAAGCACAATTCAACGAAGATATCGAAGACGGCCAACAGAAACAAATAAAGGAGGTTCGAGTTGCGAAATTGTAGACGCCAAAACGATACCAAGAGCATTGTGTTGAGCAGAATACCTTAAGGTTCAAAATCTCACTTAGCACTTCAAAGGCTATCTTTGATGCCTCTTTTCTGCTCATTTGACTCAAATGAGAAAATATTAGTAATGATCTCGTAACATTTCTGCGACAGCTGAAAAAAGATTATGAAAAAAAAATCCAAGAGACCTTTCCGGCCAGTTATTCAAAGTCGGTAAATATTGGATCTTACCAATTTTTTCACCGTTACGTGCAGCCTACGGAAAGAGGAAGAGTTGGAGGCACAAAAGGCAGAAGAATGCTCATTTGGGAAGCACAAATTTAGAAGACAAAGGGTTCATGGGCAGGGTGGAAATCTCTCAATCCTGCTGAGTACTACGTGCAAGAGGACGAAATGCTCCAATGCACACCCCCCCCCCCCCCCCCTTTCCCAGATTCAGGGTGTTCTCCTACATATTATTCCCCCTAAAATGAGCCTTCACCCCTCGCATCTGGACGGTGAGAGCCTGAAGTTGCCATTTATTGATCAGTATAATAACTGTATTAAATGTTAACAGGCAGCTTTATTATTAAGCCCTTCTCCCTCGGCTCCCTCTTTGACTCTCACCATTCAATGCTCTGAACGTTAAAGACCACTTGTTCCCAACTAACACAGGCATTTCGCCTCAACAGACATTTCACAAACACAACAACGGAAACCAATCACCATAGGCAGTTTAAACAACCTGAGGCCACAACCAATTGGAATTGCAAAAAGAAACAAACACAAACGATTTTTTATTTTTTCTAAGTTTTTGTGAGTCACGAAAGGAAATCAGATTAGCGAGGTGTGCAGATTGTTTTCCAGCGGCATGCACGACAATACAAAGGCTATAAATAAAAACTACTTTGTATTGTATGTTTTCTATATCGCAGATGCTACATTGTTGAATCATGAGGCTGCAGTTTTCATAAAAATCTGCAGGATTTCATTGCATTTCCCTTTGCTGCTTGTGCATTCGTATATTCGCTATGATACACAGCTGATTTCCAATGCAATCTCTATATGTCTGACTGTTTAACACAACTTGAAGCTGGAGAATTGGAGCTATGAGTTCTAGAGAAACGGCAATTCGGTTTAAGAACCCGGTTCCTGCTGTAACCTCATAGTGGAGCAAAATGCAGTGAAGGCAGAATGTTATAGACAAAATATATCATTTATCCCATAAGCTTTTGAAAACAGGGATCCCATACCGGTTTCTAGGCGACATATCGAAAAGGAACCTTGTAGAGTATCACCCGCGGATGTAGATTGGGCTCTATGGCATCACGAACACGCGTGAAAGGATCACCTGATGGGTTACTGTAGGGAGCAGATTCCCTGACGGGAATTTATATTCTGTATGAGAATTCCTTGAGAATTCTTCTGTTTTGTACCAACATCATAGCGAAAACGAGAAATTACGTAGCCTTACCGATGATGCAGACGGTGGTGCCCATTCCAACAATAAGCACTAACCGAATGAGGTCAGTCGACGATGGCTCATCGTCTTCACAAATTTCTTCCACGTCCATGCCTGAATTTTCGGTCTTCAATTACGTCTATTAGGGTAGAACGGCTGAACCACTCTTGAGAGTAATTGGTGAGACGTGGCAAAATAATTTCGAGAAAGCTTGATCGCGGTAATACAACGGAAGCCCTAGGAGACGGAGATTTCAGCGAAGGAAGCCTCTGAAGCATTGTGGGTTTCAAAAGAACGCCAGGGTTGCGTGTCCTTCCATAGCAAGGTCTTCGGCCATACATACGCTGCGAGCTGTAACTCGGTGGGCTTCAATCCACCTTCGATTGTCCGATTCAAGGGTTGAGCTTTGGTAGATCTTTTTCCAAGCTAAGGGCAGCTGATCATTTGTTGCTTTTGAGCCTCCGAACAAGACGCCGTTAGGCCCATCGAATCAATAATTAGTTTTGACTTGATATCCTTGTTTATTGTTGATATTTGGCCGCAGTACCCGCGACACAGCTGGTCAGTCTTATGAGACTCTCATAATTAGTTCCACCTCAGATCCCAGCAAGGCGGCGCGTCTAGAAGAAATTTTTGCAATNCCCCCCCCCCCCCCACTCCGCTCCCACCCAAACTTTAGGAGATCTATCCACATGCCTTTGCAGGTGGATGCCCCTACGCGGCTATTCAACGCAGCATGTCACCTTTCGCCGAGATCACGACATCCAACTGGCAACGGCAGTGCCTGCGCTTTCCGACCAAGATAGTTTGTGGGGTGTGTAATTTGTGTGAGGTTAAGAACCAGGTCAGCCTTGTTAGTTTGTGGTTGGTTCGCACAATCAGCTAGGCCCAGATATATTCAGTGATGGAACGAAAGCTCCATAGTTGACCTCCTTGCTTGAATTTCTATGATTTCTTATGGTTTAGAATAGATTTTAAACAGAAAATGGCATTGAACGGACATACGAGAATGTGAAGGAGAGTGAAATGAATCGGAATCGACAGAACGAGTAATTTTCAAAGCTGCTTGGTCATAAGCACTTTGTGCAATTGAATACGTCACTACCCATCACATAATTTATAGCGAAAAATCATTCAATACTCAGAAATCCGAACTACTCACAGAGAAGATGAAGCCCGCATCTACAAAGAACGAAGCCTTTTCGAGCAAACTTTGAGTTCTCAGGCATCTAACTCAGGGAGAAGCGTTGGACTGGGACTTGTGAGATCAGGAAAGGGAGTAACACAAAAGATTTTCACTTCCACGAAGGAACTACAAAGAACTGTTCATTCTACTAGAAAAGTAATAGTTTTACTTGATGACGAAGTAAGCGCACCATATACAATTGTTATGAGCAGATGAGTAGCGATGAATGAAATATGGATAGATTAATATTCTCTATGTGGCGATGGGCAGCAACCAAGTGATCTGTACATGATTCAGCTCCTTCTGTCCTATAATCCTTGCATGTATTATTTACTTGATGTTGTACGCTTCTGTAGTAAATCGCATACATCTCGCAGGACTATTGGGCGTTCTGTGATGGAGCCGTCTTCATTTTTACCTTCTTCACCGCTTATTGCCAGGCCTTACTTCACAATTGAAAACGCGAATCAAGAAAGAGAGAGTTAAATTATGTATTGAAGGAATCGGGTGGAGAAAGGGGGTGGGCGCCAATGTAGGGGTACAATTTGGAGTCTTGAAGGCGGCATCGACAGAATGGGGACGAGAGGGAGGCGGTAATAAGAGCAGGAAAACCACCAGGGCGGAGCCGATATCTGTAGTTGCTGCTACGCCTGCGGGCATCTGTGAACAAACTCGCTAGTTTCCACGGGGGTGAACTTGAATCAAACGAATGTTTGAAAGGCGTTTTCCGACTAATGTCACTATTCAGCATGTTCCTTAATTAGCAGTCAAGAACAATTCTCGTCATTCAGTCAACGTGCTGTATGACATCAGCAGACAAATCATTCATATAGTTTTCCCCTTACAGGCACCATATCAAGATCGAGCATAATTAACGAACCCCGACCACGAGCGCCCCACTATTACTCAAATTGAACTTGTGTTCGACGAACAAACAATTTCAAGCCCAGATGAATATTCATTGGCGCAGCGGTTCCTCAAAGAGCGAAAGAATGTTTGCTGTAGCCTAAAGACTAGCGCAGAGATTTGCTTTGACTAAAATTCAACTAAGAATCTACAGAACGATGTTTTGTAAAGTCATAGGTTAACAGATATGGACAATATTTACTACAGTATTGAATAAGCTGATTGAGCAATGGTAGGTAGCGGAAGCCATTTACTTTACTTCACGCAAGACCTGTAGTGTATTGTAACCACGATAGACTGAAGAACTTCGTTCAGTTGATTTGACGATATCCGGTGGACGTGTTGCTCGGCTTAAGAGAATGTATCAATTGAATTATCCCTCAACATGCAAAATAATTTCAGCCTTTATACGATTGACTCCATGCACTCCTCAAAGTGCACGGAGTCAATAGTAGAGAGGCTGAAATTATTCTCCGGATTAGGCTTCGGAAAGTGCACAGTGTCAATCGTAGACGGTCTTGGAGAAGGCATGGAAAGGTTATAGGACTTCAGATACCTGAGGAGTGATCTAGCCGCTGATGGTAATGTGGATCGGGTTCAAGAGCCCGTAGAAGCCCGAATAAATGTGGCATGATGAGGCGGAGGGGATCTACTGGTATCCTGTGCGACACTTGTGCTCCAGGAGTCTCAAAGGATGGTGTACAGGATATAAGTAAGGCCCGCGATGTAGCGACTGCTGGCCTGTATGTAAATGCCATGAGCGATAGCTTCATTCAGCTGAAATGAGGATGCTCGCTCAGTCGGGCCTGCTGTTGGATGGACCGGATCCGAGGCGAAAATGTCTGGGCGGCCATAGGTCCCTGTTGAGCTGAGGGTGAGAGAGCAGAGAGTGTGATGATACGGGCACGTAACGAGAAAAGCCCAGATAAAGGCAATGAAGTTCGAGGTTCAGGGTAAGCAATCACGAGGAGGTGTGAAGAAGAGGTGGCGAGAAGTGGTCAAGAAGAGCCTCGCCGAAGCTAAAAGTAAAGGCGATAGAAAGAAGATGAGAGGGCTGACAAAAACAGCGGGCCCTTCTACTGCGTGGGATTTAGGGTAGGGAAAAACGAATAACAAGATTCAAAACAATTTCAGTCCATTACGTATGGTAAAATAGGTGAGTTCACGATCAGAGACTATCACAACACACACAAAGATGGATTGCTGAGGCAACACTGATGTGGTTGGACGTTAAGGTTGAAATCCATCAAAGAAAACCGTCCTGTCTCAGAGAGGATATTCTTTTTCGTTTTCTGCAAAGGAATCACAATGGGGTTATCATGTTGCCCTTATGGCAGTAGTTTGTCGTTGAACTATTCTTATACGACTCTCTTTCCTCCGTTACATTAACTGAAACCTTACGCAATTGGTCATTATCAAGGCCTTCACCCCTCCTAATGCGCTCAGTAGTTATTCGTTACTTATAGTCACAAAGAACATTGTTACTGTGATTCAGACAGAACAGAACTCCTGTCCATCCTTTTTAATGGAGCTCGAGCATTATATCAGCATTACCACAGGATTTCATGATTACGCATGAAAGATCACAGCAATACTCCATAAATCAAGGTTAAGCAAGATTTGTGAGATCAATACTCGCCAAGCGGGCCCATTCCGAAGGGTTGTTCGAGTAAAAATTAATGAGAGCAGGTCAACGTTTTGAAGTCGACGGATCTCTGCTAGACTACTCAAAGTCATCCGACCTCTCCTCAGCTATCCAGTGTAGAAACGTGAATTGGGAATGAGAAAACACTTCCTCGACGGATTTTTGCTTTCACGAAACGAACAAATTGTAGTGGTGGGAATACCGTGTTCACTAATCATGAGTTTTCGATGGGGTGAAGGGGGAAGTTTGAAAAGGGTTCTGACATTCGACGAATCGTGGACTCAAACAGATATAATGAAGTCACGAGTGTTCCGCATGAAGCAATTAAGCGAGTGGGACTCTACTCTGAAAAAGGCATACTCTTTCTTCATACTGGGACCATATTAGCCACTTTTGAACGAGTAAACGGTGAGCGCCCTTCGGATAGTTGGTGGGCGACGAGGCTACGTAGCACGACCCCAGGTGGTGCAAAGTGGTTTCACTTCCCTATAGGATTAACCAGAGCATCCACAGAGCCTCCTAGCAGCAAACATGGGGAATCTGTCTCGGCTATTCACGCGGTGTCGGTGTCTCTCGGGGTGCAAAGTGCTCACGCCGTGAAAAATTATCAAGACCTTGATGCTGTATAAGAAGGGAGGCTCTGGCGGTACTGGCAACTACCGTCCTATCTGATATCTGTATGCTTTCCACACTAGTCATCCTTAACAGAATTATTAGCACACTAGTCAAAGAAAAGCCTTTTGAGTAAACAATGCCCCAAAGAGGGTTCAGTACAATCGATTACTCCCTTACTGGTTTACCGCTATTATTTAAGCTCACGATTTGAAGAAGACCTTTGATACTGTCAATAGGGCACCAAAGACAGAAACGAATGGTTTGTTGTTGGTGCTCGCACATGAGTGAAGACGAGCCGTATAGGTATAAGTATAGGGCGGCAATAAACCTACTATACGTAAGGAGCCGTGTGTGTATGTGTATGGGTGTGTGCCCGACCGAAAATTCATACTACCTGTCCCCTGTGTCTTAAGCGTTCAAACTTGGTACAATTATGTTGGGTGGCACGACCGGATTCCGGCCACAGTGGGCGGGCAGGCCAGAGGGAGAGGAGGTGAGTGGAAAACAATAACTCCTGTTTCGGGAATACTGAGGCAGAATGGGAACTTATGGTAGGGGCACGACCAAACTCTGCCCATAATGGCGGGGTTTTAGCGAAAATTCTGAACCCCTGAACCCCTCGACTCCGGGCGGCGCGTGCGTGAAATTTGGCTGTTCGGAGCTGAGGCGCTCAAATTTGCTAGGAATAAAGACGGCAGTATGGGGTGCAGATGGGAGGTGGCATGACCTGACTCGTCTCAAAGGAGGTATTTAAAGTGTT